TAATAATATTGGAGACTATAATAATAGTCTCCAATCCATCCATTTTAACCTCCTCCTCAGTCTAATAGAGCTAGGAGATAAATTTCACCTTTCCCTCTAAAGAATGCTTTGAACTCTTAGTCATAGAAAAAATAGTAGTAATCCAACTTGAATAATTAATTCCTAAATAATCAAAAACAGATTAACTCTGAAATCTGAAACATTTAGAAATACTGCTTTACTCCTACTGTAATTAACATTTCTATTATCAAGAAAATATTATCTTGAAAGACAGAGATATGCATTTAGTTACCAAATTTCAGTATTAGAATTTGAAGAGATGAAATGCACCTCCATAAAAAAATGAAGTCACTTTACAAGACAAGTGACCAATTCACAAACCTTGTAGTATACCAAACATTTGTCAATCAAAAAAGTAACAAATAATTTTCTTAAATCATTTCCAAACTATCACTACTTCAAGACTAATCAAATGAAACAAACTGCTCAACAATTTTCCTCAAATTATTGAGAAGCAATAGGTTGGAATGATAGAGCTGGCGATCTGGAGCCAGACATCCCCATTTCAATGTCCTGGCTCTTCCACTTACTTGCTGTGTGTCATGGGCAAGTTATTAATTCCTATGTGTTTCAGTTTTCTTCATTGTACTCCTCTGTAAATGGCTCTAGTACCGGAACATACAGCCTCACAGGGCTGTCATGAAGAATGAATGCGAATCATTCAACACAGTGCCTGCAGCATGCATACTACACTGCTCCTTAGCTTATGATGGTTACTCTCAAACCCATCGTGAATTAAAAATGTAAGTCGAAAATGCATTTACACACCTAACCACTGGACCTCTGAGCTTAGCCTAGCCTACCTTAAACATCCTCAGTACACTTATATCAGCCTACAGTTGATATAAATCAGACTTAAAGCTGAGATAGCTAGACTCCTCCTGTATTATCACTAGTTTGGGGAAAGAGCACAATTCAAAGACAGTTCCTACTGAATGCATATTACTCTAATATCATCAGAAAGTGGAAAAATGCTGTCAAACCATGGTAAGTCAGAGACCATCTGTAATTAGCAAGTACTCAAAAGATACAAGTGACTGGGTTATCTGTCCTTCACAGAGATGCACACACTTCAAACTGCCGCTGACTTTGAAGATTCTATGTACTGTAGCGGAAGAGAAATCACTTCAGGAACTAGACCTACGGAGGCAGTAAAAGAAAGACAGGGGACTAATCAGAGAATAATCTGATCTTGCTGCTTTTGAGTTGCAAAAGTACCCGCTTTATCTTTCAAGTAAAAGATTGCTGTGGAAAGCGCAGCATTCCATTCAATAATAGTCAAATCAGACTTAAAGGCTGAGATGGCTAGACACGTTTAGATTTCCAGTAGCCCATACACATTGAGAAAGCCTTCCTCAATGACACCATTTCCATTCTGGAGCATGGCGAGCAGGCAGTGCGCAGTGCTGAAACAGCGGTCATTTGTGAGAAGCGCTGTAGCTGTGGTTAGGAACAGGCGTCAGATGCCTGGTTACAATTCTGGCTGTGCCACCTACCAGCTGCGTGACCTCTGACACGTTACTTATCTGCGTCCTTATCTGTAAAATCTAGCTAATTGTTAGCTCACATGGGCTCTTGCATTTAGTTCACTTAGGCAAAGTTCTTAGAACAGAGCCCAACAGAGTAAGCACCCAAAACGTTATTAAAACCTATCAGTGTGAAACATTTCCCTGGTATTAATGCCACAACTGTATAAAAATATATCTTAATTTCACCCAGAAAAAAAAAATCCTAAAATCTAACATTTCCATTTTTTAGATATTTGTATTGGTACCAGACATGAGGTAGTAAAGTACAAATGCACAGGAGGAAGTACAAGGGTCACATCTTCATGCAACTAACCTATCGCCTAAAGACCAGCCGAGAGGCTAGGAAGGAGAATCAGGAAGACTTGATAGCATCTTTTAGAGCTACCAGATCTCACAGGCACTGGAACAAGTATTTTCATTGAACATCTTGTTTTTATTTCCTATGTATAAGTTAGATTTCTCAGCTTCCAAACAGTCTCTTCCCAAGTTCTTTTTTTTTTTTTTTTTTTTTTAATCAGTAGCATTAAGAATGCCAATAGCGCCCAACCGGTGTGGCTCAGTGGATAGAGTGTCGGCCTGTGGACTGAAAGGTCCCGGGTTCGATTCCAGTCAAGGGCATGTATCTTGGTTGTGAGCACATCCCCAATAGGGAGTGCGCAAGAGGCAGCTGATCGATGATTCTCTCTCATTGATGTTTCTAACTGTATTTTAAAAAAAAAACTTAGAAAATATAAAACATAATTAAAAAAAGAAAAAAAAAAAAGAATGCAATGGCATTAACCAAAAGGAGGAACAAATTCTGCCTATCTGGACACCAAACAGCTCAATAATTTTATACCAATTTCTCACACGCTGATAAATAGTTGGCTTACTCAGAAAAGGATGAATTGGTGTCTTAGACGGAAGAATTTTAAAGCAAGGCAAGTAATTGTATAAAATTTAAATTTTATGACCATGTTTGGACCTTTTTACACATTGAACACAATGGAAATGTTCATGTTCATTTTTTTCCCCAAAGGGAAAATCTCTGAACCATCGCTAGGTTGCACAGTAGGAAAAGAATAGGAGCTTAGGAACTTATTCAAGTTTCTGAAGAATGCAAAGAACAGACATGATTTTACTTCCAAAATCTGGTCAACAACATTATTTTGTAGTACTGTATCTCAGACTTCACCTAAACACTCATTAGTCAGACAAAGATAGCCCCCAGTGACATTTTTTAAAAAGCCTCTGCCCCACCACAACTTCCTGAGATCTGTGAAAAAAAACTGGTCTTGTGATCAGGCTCCACACAGCACTGGCAGTTTTGTAATCACAAGGGGAAAACGGTGACTGGGTCTACGTGTCAATTAGTTGCAGTCTGCTGATCTGATTAGAAGCCTTGACAAACGCCTGGTGGCGATTGCAAATAACTGCCAAGCATATGGGGATGATACAGTAGCCCACCGTTTTGGGGTCAGCTCTTGTACAAGAATATAGGAACAAAAACATCTGTAAGTAAGGAATCAGAAAAACAACTGTCCAAAACCAAAATGGCAGGGAGAGGAACCGAGCCTTCAAGGAGTGCGTCCATGTGGTTCCTTCCCGGGGCTCCTCTGGGTGCTGTTGAATGTGTTCCAAGGCCAGTCTGTTGTAAGTCTCATTGATTTCAAAAACATAGTAAAATGCTGCTGCACTTGCCAACAGGTACAATCCCACTCCAATCCATCCCATCCGCTGGCGAAAATTCATCATTCTCCATGCTCTGTGCCTTTAAATTAAAAAAAAATAAAAATAAATAGAAAATACAGTTAGGGTTTAGCAATGCTGTCAGGGCAACTATTCCAAATGTACTTGCTTTTATTTCCAACGACTTCTAAAACACCCCATGACTACAGTTACGGTTTAAAATAAGTTAAATATGAAGACATATATGAAGACATGTAAACAACTTACAGGTGGTTCGAGGGAATGGTTCTGAGGAAGTACAAAACGTTTCAGTGTTGAGTGAGTCTGGTTTTATGTGAATCCCACAGATTAACTCCCTGCATATGGCTTACATAGGTCCAGTACACCTTCCATTAAAAAAACACTGGAATCGAAGTGGTTCCCTAAGGAACACTTCACTTTTGCAGTGCAAATACTTTCTGACTTCAGAGCACTGCTTCAGAGCGAACACTTGGTTCTGCAAGTCAAACCAATGCGGGGGGGGGGGGGGGGGGAGGCGGCCTGGTCAAGACAGTAACTCTTCAACACTTACAAGGGTCCCGAGAATCTTGCTGTTCCCACGGCAAGAGTTAAAGAGTCACTCAGTTCTGAATACTCGGGTGGCTTTGGCATGTCAGAGAAAGCCACCATAAGAGAGATCCCCGGCGTCGCCGGCTGGGGAGCGGTGGACACGACCCGCCGGAGCACCCGCTGGGCGTGAGTAAGCGCGGCGGGTCACGCGGCGGCCGGCCCCGGAGCCCCCAGCGCTGTCACCGGCCCCGCCAGAGACTCCCCAGCCGGCCCCGCCCCCCGTCACGCTGCTGCGCCCGGGGCCGCGGCCAGGGCTGTGCGCGGGCGGCGTCCGGCCCGGGCCTCTCCGCCTTGCAGCGCCGGGAGCCCAGTGCCGGGCAGCGGCCAGCGGCCAGCGGCCGAGCCTGCAGAGCTGGGCAGGCGCCGGATCTCACCTTCCTGTCTGACTTGGCCCGCCCGCTTGCCGTCCCGGATGCTGCCACAGTCGGGGCTTCCGGCTCGTCCCGGAAGCGCGCACGCCCCGCCTCGAAAGGCCCGCCCTTCGCGACGTCAGGGTGCGTCACCCCCGCGGCGCCGCCTCCTCGGGCACGCCCCAAACAGCCCCTGCTAGGAGCCCGGCTGCGGTTGCGGCAACTGCGGGGAAGTGCGTGTCTGTCTGGTCAGGTGGGCGGCCATCTCGGCCTCGCCCCGGTGGCCTCGCCTCGCTCGCGACCTCTGGTCGCTTCATCGCTCCTCGCCGCGGAGAGAACCTCAGAGTCCGGGAGGTCCGCCTTCCCTCCCCGACCCGCGTCGTACCTCTGCACAACCTGTTTGCTGTGCCCGTCCGAGCGGAGGAGAGGCCATCCTCCGGCTCCTCAGGGCTGGCCTCCGGGGAAGCGTCGGGAGCCGACCCTAACGCCTCGTCTGCTGCCGGGGAACGCAGGCCATGGACCGCTAGGTGACGGCGGGGCGCCCGGGGAGGGTAAGATGGCTGCTTGCCGCAGTGGGGCCGCCCGGCGTCGCCCGCCGGCTAGGGGACGCGGGGCTTTCGGGGGGGCCCTGGGTCCTTGTCACCTTCAGCTGACCTGACTGCTTTGTCCTCACAGGACCTGGAGCTCGGGACGCTGACGGGGCTGCCTCGGAGGAGGACCGTGAATTGCGGTGGCATCCCGACCCCCGACTCCTTGGGCGTTGAGAGAGATTGCGTGGGGCACCATGACGCTGAGGCTCCTGGAAGACTGGTGCAGGGGGATGGACATGAACCCTCGGAAGGCGCTGTTGATCGCCGGCATCCCCCAGTCCTGTAACGCGGCCGAAATCGAGGAGGCTCTGCGCGCCGGGCTAGCGCCCTTGGGCGAGCACAGGCTGCTGGGGAGGATGTTCCGGAGGGACGAGAACAGGAAGGTAGCCTTAGTGGGGCTCACCCAGGAGACCAGTGTTGCTCTGGTCCCGAAGGAGATACCCGGGAAAGGGGGGAGTTGGAGAGTGATCTTTAAGCCCCCTGACCCGGAAAATGAGTTTCTAACCAGGCTAACCGCATTCTTAGAAAGAGAGGGCATGACACTAGGGGAGCTGACCAGAGCTTTTGGGTATGGGAACGACCCTCTTGACCCAGACCAGAACCCCATCCCAGAAGCGCGGGCCCCCCTGTTGGCACAGGCGCTAGATGAGGCTCTCCAGCCTGCCCTGCAATACGTGAGCTACAAAAAGCTGAGGGTATTCTCGGGCAATGACCCCCCAAGGCCTGGCGAAGAAGACTTTGAATCCTGGCTGTTTCACACCACTCAGATGATGAAGGGCTGGCAGGTGTCAGATGCCGAGAAAAGACGGCGACTGATAGAGAGCCTTAGAAGCCCAGCCTCCGATGTCATTCGTGTCCTCAAGATAAACAACCCTTTCATTAAGGTCCCCGAATGCCTGAAGGCTCTTGAGCAGATTTTTGGGCTTATTAATAATCCTAGGGAGATGCAGATCCAATATCTGAGGACGCACCAGGATGAGGAAGAGAAATTGTGTGCTTACATACTAAGGCTGGAGCCTCTGCTACAGAAACTGGTAAAGAGGGGAACGATTGAGAGAGAGTTTGTGAATCGGGCCCGCCTGGACCAAATCATTGCTGGAGTAGGGGACAAATCGCAGCGCAAGCGGCTTGCTCAGCTGGAGGAGAACGGCGTGGCCCCTGGCTTGTTAGACCTCCTGCAGCTGATAAAGGTTCAAGAGGCAAGTGACTCAGAGAAAGAGGAGGTGGTTCTCCAGGCAAAGTTAATAGAGGGGCATTACACCTGAGTCTCAGGAAGCCAGGGAAGGTCAGTGACAGTGACGACAGTCGGCAGGGCACGGAGGTAGAATAGTCCATATACCACCGTGGTAGACATTAACCCAGCCCTACCTTGTGATGCCCAGTTCTCAGTACAAATCCATTGTCAGTTGTGTGCCTATTTAAGGTCTCCTAAACGTGTCGTTGACTAGGAAGACTAGTTCTGCACCGGTGTTTATATATTTAAATTTATCCCAGCCAATGTTTCTTCACACAAAACTGTACAGAGTCCTATCACTGCATGTGTGCACTGCTCTGAGAGGAAGGCAGGGGTTAAAGAGTCACTTTACGGAGATGTCAGCTTGTGTGGTAGCAGGTGCACGTGTCGCATGTCACATGTGATTATGTATCAGCTTGTGGGTGTCCGTGGCCCTCCATTTATCACGCTTGTGAGCAGTGGTTAAGATAATGTTCTATGTGAACCAGAATTTTGTTGATTCTGTGCCATCAAGAGACAGAACTAAATGCTGAAGTTCACTTTGCGGCTTCCATCTCTAACCTCAGGTTCCTGATGTGTGTCATCCTATGCCTAGCTGTGAATGTCATCTTAATAGGTGTTATAAAATTATAAGTATGAACTTATAAAATAAAGGAATGCTGATGAAATTACCTCTTTTATTTGTCTGGTTATATCGAGTTTCCAAAAGAAATTTCAAAAGTGTGAATCTGAAAGCCCACGTGGTCCCTAGGTGAGACGGCTAGAGAGAGCTCTGCAGCACACGGAAGGGAACAGGTCGGGACACAAATGAGTGCACATAGCAGGGGAGCACATGGATGCATCAGTGCATTGGTTTGAATGGTTTCCCAGCTAGTACTAAGTACAGGGACGAGATTTACATTCAGGCCGTCTATTTCCAGAGTCCTTGCTCTCAATCTATTCTATGCTGCCTGGTAAAATATTCATAGAAGCCTGTAAGAAACATCATCGTTGCCCTTGTTTAATTTTTTGGTTACTCCTCACCCAAGGATATTTTTTCATTGATTTTAGAGAGAATGGAAAGGGTGGGGGAGAAAGAGAAACATCAGAGTGAGAGAGAAACACATCAATTCGTTGCCTGCAACCTAGGTACATGCCCGTGACCAGGAATCAAACCCGAGACCCTTTAGTGCATGGGCTGATGCTCTGATCACTGAGCATACCACCAGAGCACATTGCCCTTGTTTTACAGGTGAAAGGCTTGAGGCTCAGAAAGCCTCAGATCTAAGGGCAAAGGCACATAATTTCACTCCCAAGAGCTCTTCATATATATATATATATATATATATATATATATATATAATACATATATATATATATTAAATACTTTCTTTGATTTTTAGAGAGAGAAGAAAGGAGAGAAAGAACATCCATGTGAGAATAGCACATGTAAGGGTGGAACATTGATTGACAGCAATGGGACCCATAATCTTTCATTGCACAGGACAAGGCCCAACCAAGTCACACCCGCCAGGGCCTGGGAGCTTTTCTGAAGGTGCTCTGACATATGCATTTGGTAAACACTGCATCATCATCAAACACCAAAAAAGGCAGCTGTGTTTAGGAAGTCATGTGAAGTAAAAAAACAACAAACCTATGTTCTTTAAAAGTTATGTTTTGCCCGGCTGGCGTGGCTCAGAGGTTGAGTGTTGACCTGTGAACCAGGAGGTCAAAGTTCAATTCAGGTTTATGCTCTGGTCCCAAAGGAAATACTTAAGCTCAGTCTCTAGTGCGGGGCATGCAGCAGGCAGACGATCAATGATTCTCTCTCATCATTGATGTTTCTATCCCTCTCCCTCTCTGAAATAAAATATATATATATATATTATATATTAAAAAAAAAATATATATATATATATTTAAAGCTATGTTTCAAAATGAATGACAAAACCCTAAAATATTATAACTTTTGTTGAGATTATAAGGCTAAAGTAGTTTTTTAATGTTTATTAAGTGTGTTTTTTAAACATATGCAAAGGAGGTGCTCAAGAAGGAAGTTGGCATTTTAAAGGACATAGGAACCAGCTGAAAGAGCACCCACTGGTGAAGCTACTACTTGAGCAACAAAATTCAATTATAACTCAAAATTGTATTTTAATTTAAATTATAAAACAAGTGTCTCCAACTTCACGCTGATATGAATGAATGACTGAATGACTTCTGTAAGTCAAACTATTCTTACATAAAATATTCATTGAAATACATACATACGTACATATATACGTATTCAAGAAAATAATAAATGACCTGGGATGCCAGCCAGTGAAATAAGTGACTAGAGAGTGAAAAACTAGAGGGCCTCTTTTTTCCTAAAAATGGGTTATTCATTAAAAACATACAAACAAAAACAAAAATGCTTATTCATCTAAACACCACTAGGTGGCGGTAAGCACCCAGGTTAGGCCTCCGCCAGACAAAGCAGGGAAAAGGATTATTTCTTACATAAGTGGCATCATACCTGCCCCTCTTCAAAGACTGGAAAATTTCTCAAGTCTTTATGTGGAAAAATACTGAAGTACTTGCTCAATGTAGGACAGTGACTTCCTCTCTAGGTCCCTGACACTTCTCGAATCTTCAAATCAGCTTGTCACAGAAGCCTGGCCGTGGTAAATGGACTGATCTGTCTATACAAGTGAGAACATCCTTTAAAAAAAATTTTATTTTTATTTTTATTGATTTCAGAGAAGGGAGTGGGAGAGAGAGAGAGAAACATCAATGATGAGAGAGAACCATTAATCGGCTGCCCCCTTCACACCCCACTCAGGGAATTAAGCACGCAACCTGGGCATGTGCCCTTACCGAGAATCAAATCCTGTCCTCCTGATTCAGAGGTCGATGCTCAACCTACAGCAGGAGTGCCGCTCAGCCAGAGGCCGGCTCATGGCTGGTGAGCTCAGCAGCGGTGGCAAGAGTCTCTCCCGCCTCCATGGAAGCACTGAGCAGCAAGCCAAGCAATAAGTGGTGAGCAGGCAGCAAGTTAGGAAGGAGCAGGCGGGTGGTAAGGAGTGAGCAGGTGGGCGGTAGGAGCGAGGGGTCCCAGGTTGGAGAGGGCGCAGGCTGGGTTGAGGGACACCCCCCACTCCTGTGGATGAATTTCATGCACCAGGCCTCTAGTATATAATAACCAGCATGGCTGTCATTTGTTAAACTTCCTACGTGCCAGGCATGTTGCTAAATGCTTTACCTATATTGCCTCATTTAACTTTAACTGTAGGCCCTTGTGCCTGTATTACTATTCCTGATTTCAAGTAAGGAAGCAGACCTTTGGGTAGGTAAAGTGACCTGCCCAGAGTCACACAGCCAGAAGCGACAAAGAGCTGTCTGGTTCCAAAGCCAGTGCCTTAACCACTGTCCAGACCACACTGTCGGCCCCCGCCCAGCAGCCATAGCCCTCTTCCTCCTTCCTATCTAAAGCCAGATTCGCTCACCCACTTTACAGAACCGTGAATTTCAGGGGAAACCCAGCCTTCCCAGCCCCTGCCGGAAGTGGGGGGCGGTTAATCTTAATTAGCTTAAGATGATTCTGTACCACTGTAAATTGACAGTCTGCTTGTTGCTTTACTGTCTCTATATCTATCTTTTGGTTCATCAGTTTATAAGGTGAAGGGTACAGAATCATCTTAAGCTAGTCACTTGTTGGAGGCATGGGCAAATTACACAATTCTAGCCGGTGAAATGTGAGCTGCTGTTTTCAATCTTTATTGTGTGTGGCTCTGCTGCCAGAATGCCTCCGTTCAGATTCCCGCCTCACCGTTCTAACGCTGTGTCTTCCTGCAAGTTACTAACCCTTCCTGGGCGTCAGCCTCTTCAGCAGAATGTGGGGGTGCCAATGGCTCTCCTCGTAGGAGCATTGCAAAGACCGAGTGAGTGAATGATGTGAAGTGTGGAGAATGGTACCTGCTATCTACTGAGGAGCCAATAAACGTCTATTGTGTTTGTTCCTTATTGCTGCACAGCCAATCACCCCAAAACTTGGTGACTGAAAACGGTCGTTACCCCTCAGTTTCTGTGGACCAGGAATCGGGGAGCGACGTCACTGGGAGGTCCTGGCTCTCTGCTAGACCGCCACCCGAGGCGCCGCCCAGGGCTGGGGCCATCTTTGGAGACCTTCTCTCAAAGCTCACCCGCGGGGCTGCGAGTGCCCGATGTTGGGGTGCCAGTTTCCGATTCCCTTCCGATCTCACCTCCCTCCCACTGGAGTGCCCTTTAAGAAGCAATAACCCACAGGCCCCCAACACACCCATCCTGGGTGCGGGGAGAAGACTTACCCTGTACCACCCAGCTTCTTGCTTCTGAGAAACTATGCCTTCAGTGTGCAACCAAAGCTTTTTTTTTTTTTTTTAATATATATTTTATTGATTTTTTTACAGAGAGGAAGGGAGAGGGATAGAGAGTTAGAAACATCGATGAGAGAGAAACATCCATCAGCTGCCTCCTGCACACTCCTCACTGGGGATGTGCCCGAAACCAAGGTACATGCCCTTGCCCGGAATCGAACCCAGGACCCTTCACTCCACAGGCGGACGCTCTTTCCACTGAGCCAAATCGGTTTGGGCACAATCAAAGCTTTTAATGCGTGCCTTTCTTCATCTAAGTAACCAAATAATCTGATGAACAGCGTGGGTCCAGAGACACGGAAGCATGGAATAGTGTGCGGAGTCTTAGAGGGAAGGAGGCGGGAGGCTGGATGGGTGGGAGGTTATCAATCAAGGACCTTGTAAGCATACAGTATCTGCATGGGCCATGGACACAGACAATAGAGCAGTGAGGCCCTGAGGTGGGGTGGGGGTGGCTGGAGGAGGCCAGTGGGGGAAAAAGAGGACATATGTAACGCTTTCAACAATGGAGAACTATTTAAAAAACTAAATAAGGAAGAAATAATATCGCGGCCTTTCTTTTATCTAATGAATGCCATTCATAGAAACGTATTCTCATAAGGATGTTCACAAAGAGTGGGCTAAAAGACTTCCTTGCAGTACTATTTATCATTGT